AAAAAAAGAAATACCCTGGCAAGCACAAGGACCTGAGTTCAATCCCTGGTTCCTCAAAAACAAAACAAAACAAAAAACAAAAAAACCAAAAAAAGTTGAAACTCATGTCTAAGTTGATTCAAAAAGTCTTGACTTAACTGTAGAAGATTCTATCCAACTACTTATTTGCAGAATATACATGGTTGCTGAGTAAGCCATGCTAAAGCACAGTGAAAAATTAAAACCTTTTGATCATTCTCTTTTCCCTCAAGTAGTTCTTTCAACACTATCAAATTCCCAGATGTGCAAATCATTAAGTTATAGATCACTCTTAGTGCAACTCTTTTCCTCCATCTCATCAAAATTGGACAACATTACTTACTAAACACAACAATCTTTTAACTTCTCCCTACTTCTTTTACTAGTTGCAAATTCAAAATTCCAGATTACTGAAAAAGTTAACTGATTTGTCTCTGACCGCATTATAGTCACATCAGGTACTGTTATATTTCTCAAATATTCTGAGTGTCTTCTCATCTCTCATCTTGGGCATTTGTATTAATTGTTTCCTGCTTTGATGCATTCTGCATGGCTATTTCTTGTCATGGCTATTTCTTTCAGTTTATATATCTTTGATCAACCAATGTACAGCAGCTCTCCCATCTGTATGTCCTAATTATCAGGACGCCACATCTATTTTTTTCCCTTCATATATGAGATCCTGTTTAAAATACTTGGTGAGAATGTCTTTATTTCTATCTGAGGTCCCAACTGAATACCTCACCTGTAACACAAAACCCTTTACATACACACATGTCCATCCACTACTTAATAATAACTTAAATCAGCGCTTGGGAGGCTGAAAACAGGAGGATCTCTATAAGTCTGATCTATGTAGTGAGACCCTATAGACCCTGTACTAAAATACATTTTTTAAAAAAAGGCCTAAACAACTCACAGTATCACTCTGCAGTATCATCTGTCAACAGTGCTATTGAATTAAAGGGAAAATATCACAATTTCACAATCATAACCTCTCAATACCATAAATATGGTAATATCAGTAGTAGCCAGTTAACACTTTTACTCTTTCCTATGCCACCCAAAATAAATCAGATAAAAACCCACAAGTATTAACTTTCAAAAAATGAAATCATGTATTAAAACCCAATTTTAAACAATACCTCAGGAACAACTTCTTCTAAGGCAGAAAAGAAGTAGGTATATACAATCAATTCTGAAGCAGCATCTATGTATTTCTCCTGTGAAGAAACAAAAAAAGGTCATTTAAAAACATTAATTAAATACCAAAATTTATTTCTCATTAAACAGAGCTACCTTATGGGATAAGCAATAATGTCGTAATTTACTACCACATGTTCTTTTTGGTTAAAAGATAAACTGCATACACTGTTTTCTGAGGCAAAAGACCACTACAACTAAGTTTCATTATATATCAAGTAAAGTTGAGTAAACAAGGCTTAATGCTTATTAATTTAAAGTTATATTAACAATGATGAGTAGGAATGAGGATGCTGACTACAAGGAAAACAAGTGTTTACACATGTGCCTGCATAAAATAAATTTTAGTTAATGGTCATCTGCTATTAAAAAGTTGACATTCACACTACAGCTTGTAGCCCTAGAGACTTAAAACGATAAAAAGCAACACAGAATTTAAGTAAGTCAGTAATGGGAGAAATGTTAAACATCTACACACTTTTTCACTGACTTGCATTTCCTATCAGCAAATACCAGACAGCTTATACAATAACATGTTTTTATTATTAAAAATAATCAAAGTTTTATTTTAGAAAAAAACATTTAGAACAAACTAAAATATTTCTAGCTAAGGGTGTTATGAAGTTTTAGTAAACTCATGGCTATACAGAAAATTAAATTATGTCTATTTTGTGAATTAAAAAATAATTTCATACTTTCAATGGTGATTCTCCACCTATGTAAACAAAAAATACACGATGTCTCTTCTTTACATGTTCAAACATCTGCTGGCTTGGAAGCGGCCGAATTAAAGCCCTGTTTGAGAAAAAAACAAACGTGTGAATTGAGGATAATACAAAATTTAATTCCAAATATATGATTGTCAATCATGTCTCAAGTTGTTTTAGTAATGAATCAACTGCATTTTAAATTTATCAACAAAGGGCCGGTCAAATAGCTCAGAGGATTAAAGCACCTGCCTAGGCAGACACAGGGGCTGGAGTTTCTTCCCCTGGACTGCAGTTCGGCCTGCAGTACTGGCCCAGCCCCCAGGGGAGTGCAGAGAGGGCAACTGAGACAGGGGGTGATGGCACATGATTGTAATCCCAGCACTTGGGAGGCTGTAAACAGAAGGATCACTACGAGTTAGATCTACGCAGTGAGACCCTGTATACTCTGTATACCCTTTCCTAAATACAAAAAAATAAAATAAAATAAAATAAAATAAATAATAATAATAATAATAAATTTATCAACAAATTCACATCTATCTAATGAAACTCTAGCCTGTAACTATTATCACATATTATCAATTTACACAGTATCACAATTCAATCTATCAATTACACAATAAGTTTCTAATGTACCCCTTTAGGGAGGATCATCCTTGTTAATATTTTGACAGGCAAAAATAGCACCATCATCCATTTATAGTCCTCAGCTAAAACAAAATAATTCACATGAGAATTATTTTCCCCCTTTCAAAACAACATTCACATAAAACACTGTACCATGCTATCCCAGGAGCATACAGTACTTAAGAACATCTATAATGTCAACTTAAATGTTACATAGCTTTAAAATTCCTATGGAGGTTAAAACAAGTTTCAAAAATATGTCATTAATTATTGGGGGTAAAAAATTAAGTGGAAAATGACAGAAATGATAATGCATAGGAATCTCAGGAAAAACAACTCTACAAAGCATCTCATCATTGTCAGACTCAAGTAAACTACATCAAAGTATCACTAGTAAAATATCACTGAGTAAACTGAAAGAGGCAGTTGTTTTTTTTAAATATGGTAATATAGTATCAGATTTCCTTTCCACAAAATTCATGAAAGAATAAGACATATTTTGCAAAGGAAAACATGTTCCCATGCTACAATTCTCAGAATGCATTGCATCACTCCCAACTTGTCTCTATTTTAATACTTAGCAATTAACTAGTAAGTGATGCAACTCCAAAACGGACTCTTGAAATTTCACTTGTAACATAGTCACCCCCAATTACATCAGAAGAATCCCTGCACTTGAACTAAAATTCATTAAATACTGCCAAAACATAAAGACTAATATCAGTCATGGGGAGTAAAGTATTTCCTGCTAACAACGTTCTCATTCTACATTCATTTATTCACAAAGCAAATAAAGTGAAGTATACCATCTGTGAGAAAAAAAAAAAAAAACAGTAAAAATTATGTTAGTAACAATCACAAACTTTATGAAGACCAATCCTAATTTTGTGAATTTCTGAATGAGATGGTACTATGCCATACACCAAATCCATCCTATTTTTTAATCTTTTTCTTTTTTTAAAGACAGTATCTTGCTGCATAATTCAGGCTGGGCTTGAACTTATTATATAGCCAAGGCTAGCCTCAAACTTTGTGACCCTCCTGCTAATCCCAACCTCCTAAATGCTGGGATTAAAAGCATGTTTTACTTTTAAGGTTTTATAAGACTGTCAATATTTTTCATTAAGATTTTAAGAAAGCGCCTGAACTTCAAAACCAACATGGATTAACTTGTTAAATACTATCTTCAAGAAGTTCCATGAGGGCCAGCCTACGAGCTCAGCAGATTAAAGTGCCTGCAAGCAGGTGCAGAGGCCTGGGGTTTGATCCCCACACCTGCCTTGCTGGCCCTGCCCCCAGGGCATGCAGAGATGGCAACTGAGACTGGGCATGGTGGCAAGCACCTGTAATCCCAGCTCTTGGGAAGCTATAAACAAGACAATCACTACGAGTCCATCTAGCAGTGTGACCCTGAGCACCCTGCAGACCTTTCCCTAAAATACAAAAAAAAGGGGGGGGGTTCCACATAATCATGCTAAATAATCATAAGCACTGACTTTCTTTATACCTCAGTTAAGATACAGGTTTAAAGATTCAAAGTAACAGAAAACACAGAGGAAATTTGTTTTCTCATCAGTAAAAATTTCAAAAATGCCTAATTCAATTCAGGTTTTAACTGTTATTTATTAGGCAAAAAAATGTATGAATACCTCACAGCTTGTAAATAAAAGCATGTGATATTTTTTTTTTTAAAAAAGTGAGCAGTCTCTAAAATGCATTCTTCAACTTCACCTGCTGGGAAGAAGCCCAAGTCTGCCACAGTATTCCAGAGGCTCTCTTAAAACTCTAAAATCCAGTACTAAGGAACATAAATTGACATGAACTAGGCACTACAGAAATAAAATTACAATATAGAGGGGTGGGGATTTAGCTCAGTGGCACAGTGCCTGACTGGCTACTGTAAGGTCATGAATTCAATTTTTGACACATACACACAAAACAATGATACAATAAAAATTAAGATTCATAAAAGTGCCACAGTGATGCCTCCTTTCTGCAGTTCCATTTTCCATGGTTTTAATTACTCATGTCCACCATGGTCCAAACATACTACATGGAAAAATTCCAGAATAATCAGTTTATAAGTTTTATATTCTGCACAGTTCTTAGTAATGTCATGAAATCACGGTCCCAGTGATGTGAATCACTGGACCCAGGGATGTGAATCATTCCATTGTCTAGCTACACAAGCTGTGCGTGCTAACCTGCTCATTAGGCATTTAGCATCCCTGTCAGTTATCAGATCCACTCTGGAGGCACTGTAGTGCTTGTATTCAAATAACTCTTATTATACCTAGTAAGGGAACCCAGCTACAAGAGTAGGGATACTGGAAAGTTGGATACCAAAGAGAAGCCATGGACTGTTTCATGAAAGTACGAGATATTTTGAGAAGAAAAAGAAAAAAAGACACCATTCACATAAACTGTATTATAATATATTGTTGTAACTGTTTTACAATTAGTCTTACTCCCTTATTATGTTTAATTCACAAATTCAAATTTTCATACATATAGAGGTAAAAACATACTATCTACAAAGCTTGATACCATCCATGGTTTCAGTCACCAATGGAATAGTGCCTCCCATGAATATATGTAAGTAATCAAAATTTTGAAAAGGTATTAAAATTCACCACAGGAGTCAAGTGTAGTAGTGTACTTCCATAATCCCAGCACTTTAGAGGCTAAGGCAAAAGGACTGCCTTGAGTTCAAGGTCAGTCTAAGTTACATATAAGTTCAAGGCCAGCCAGAACTTTGTAACAAGATTGTCTGGAACAAACAAAAACAAAAATTCACTGGAGAAAATCCTTTTATACACAAGAAAATTCAAACATGAGATTAACAATCATACAATACAAAACAATCTCTATTTAAAATGTCTTTGCATTATACTACATAACCCTATTTTTTTCTCATAAACAAGTACAATAAAGTATGTCTCATAAAACATGTGCATTCAATATGGTCTATTAAAATACATCTAATTTTCAACAGGGTGTAGTGATATATGCCTCTAATCCCAGCACTTAAAAGGCAAAGCAAGACAATCATAAGTCAAAAGCCAGTTTTAGCCTATATACTGAGTTCAAAGCCAACCTAGACTACATAGTGAGACTTTGTCTCCAAAAAATTTTTCAAGGGACAGGGATACATCTCCAATGGCACAGTATCTACTTGGCAAGTACAACGTCCTGAGCTCAACTCCCTGATAACCATAAAAAAATTATTCTTTTATATCTAATTTTCAAATATTGATGTAATATAATAAACATTTTTTCTGATAGAAACTTACCCAGATACTCTATGAGCAAACTCAATAATATCGTCTTTAGTCCGTGGTCCTCTGTAATTATATGCCAAGTCCCCCTTTAATCTTGAAAAGAAAAAATGGTAAGAACTTGAATTATGTTGTATCTTAATATATAATGTACATAAATTGCTATTTTAGCACAAATTTATAGTATATCAAACAGTAAATGCAAGGAGTTTCAGAAGTAGTATATCTATATCAGATGTAGGCAACTGGATTCTCCAGATCAGCAAATCACAATATATAGAAAAAAGCTGCTTGCTGTTAGAATTATAGAAAAAAATTTTATATTGTACTTGATAGCTACACTGTATCTATACTTCTAAAAAGTGAATAATCCACACAACTTCAAAACCGTATAAGTTACTTGACAGATGCTCCAACATCCACAATAATCCGACAGTTTTTTCTAAAAGCCTAGACAATTCTCTAAAATACTGACAATTATGTGTCTAATTAACCAATATTGTAAAAATGAAAAATCAAGAAGCATAAAAACAGTAAGTACAATTAAAGAGAAAAGTAAAAAATAATACAAGAGGATTAGAAGAAGCAGAGAAAGGTGGGAGGTTAACACAAAAGCCAAAAAATAATAAATATAAATTACTTTTGATATTTGAGAATTTAAAATATTACAAAATTATTTTTATTATAAAAACTATGTTCAAAACAATTTCTCAATTCCCTGCATTACCAAAATAAGGGTAATAAAGATCATCAGAAAATTCAAGGTCACAATTACTTAAAAATTCCTTTAGAATTATCACACCAGTTCTGATTTACACACTGTCAGATTTGCTCAATAACTACAGATTAAAATTAACACCTATTAATTTTAGTTTTCTTTATCACTAATGAAGTCAGATTATACAAAAGTTAAGTCTGTTAGGGACAGAATTTGACAATGACAAAGCAGAACACTTATTTGAGCTCCAATAAGATTAAGAGAGCTATCATAATTTATGACTGTATATCTTTGTCCTGCACAGTGCAAGCTACAATAGACTCAAAACAATTACTGAATCACCTGTGAACAACACAACTATTTAAATATGGAGAAAAGCACTAAGGAATGAATAGTCCTCTCCTTGGATCACATACCTCACCTTAAAAAAAAAAGGGCTGAACTCAAATCTTAGACTCTCAAAAAAAAAAAAAAAAAAAAATCACCAGAAATAAATGTAAAATGTAAGTAGCGTGAACTATAAAAGTACACATATAAACATACAGCTCTCAACTTACAGCTTAATTGTTGGATAACCTCGAACTCCAAACTCTGAAGCAAGGCCTTGATAAGAAAAAGAATAAAGAATTCTAAATTTTTTTAAAACTGAGAAACTAGATAACAAATGAGCCTTTTATAAAAAAAAGACATTTATACAAACTCATGTACATGTTGTTTTTAAGTGTTAAAAAAGTCATACAGAAAAAAATATTTGAATATGAAATAATTACTTAAAAATCCAACCAATAGGCTACAAAAACTACTATGAGAAAATAAAAAAAAAAAATGTGAAAAGAATAGTTAAAAATTTATTCTTTGAGTACTAATTTTATAAGATACTTTGGTGGAAAAAAACACCATTACATAAAGTACTTCTCATTTGACTTCATTTCCAGGAGCAATTAGTTCTTCCCCAGACCTTATCCATCTCTGCAAAAAAGAAAAGCCCATCTTTTTCTTTACTGTTTCCTGAACATTCAGAGAATTATAGTGTGTTTCAATGTTAAAAACATAAATTGTATATGCAAAATTACTTAAATACTATGTATGGTCAAAAAGCAACTTTATGTACACTTCACAAATTTCTGCACTTTAACCTAAAATAGTTGCAATTATCGCAAATGTTATTTTCAAATCTTCTCACTCATTAAAATGATAAATATTTGCTACAATATTGTTTTGAAGTGATGAAAGAAAAAAACATACAAGCAGATATCAATATAGAAATAAAACAATTTATCAAATTAATGTTATAATACTTTACAGACTCAAAGCATCCAGGAAAGAAAAAAATATATTCAGTTAATGGGCACAATACAATATAATATATTTACAAAAGTACATTAGTACAACACATGATATATTTACTCATAATTTCTCGCACACCAATTTTCTTCAATTTCAGGCTATTTACACACACAGTACCTTGGGGCACGGAATCTACTCCTAGGCTGTGGTTGACATTTACCTCAGTAACTTCATTAATTTTTAGCTTCTCATCACTTGTTGAGAATTCACAAGAATGTCACTGTCAATCTATGAAAACTACTCTCAATAATTTCTCCACCTTGCTTTCTTAACTTGCTACCTTAGCCAAAAGGAGAGAGGTGACTAAAAGGCTCTGCACAGTGACCAACACCTATTTCCACTCGAGGCACCACTAACAGTAAAAATAACAAAAATTCAAGTTGTGAAGATCCAGATATGGACCTCTAGATATGCAGGTGAATTTACAGCAATTACACAATTCACTTGTGCCCATCTCTAATTTAAATTCAATGGTCACATATACTCTAACTGAATATGACTGTGGTTATCTAGATTGCTTTCTTCAAAGCAAACCCAAAAATGATTTTGGGGAGATTATATGAATGAACTCATCTTAATGGCTTCCTTCCCAAATTACATAATGAAGTAAATGCCATCCCTTACTTTCTCCAGTTAAAAATCCACTAAAAACTTTCTAAAAATAAATAATAAAATTGATAGAGGAGTTATATTCTACTAGTAATAGCTCCATAATAATAACTGAAATTATTTTACAATTGATGTACAAATGAAATAAAAAAAAAAAATCAATGGAAAATACAGTGGTGGCATGTCACAGTGATACATGGATTGCATAATATCACCCACCCAAAGACTACGTTGGGCTCTTAACTTTAACCAACATTTCTTATTAAATCTTAATTTACAATTACACTTAAAACTTGATCAGCCTTATCTTTTGCTAGAGGAGAATGATGATATAACTAAAACTGCAGGCAGGCTGGGTTATAGATGTAAGAGCATAAAGACCCACATTATGGTTCTAACTTCTCCCTTTACTATCTATGCAAATTCGTTATTTTTTCAAGCTTCTCACTGTACTTCCCCTTCTGAAGATACCTCTCACATTGCAAGGCTAAGGGTGAGATTTTAAGTGACAAAAGACATAAAAAAAGAATCGAACATAGAGTCCGGCAAAGATCCCTAAATATAGGATAGACAGTAGTTTTGTGTTTTGTTTTGTTTTTTTTTAACTCTTGATCAGTTAAGTAATTATGTGCTGATACATCAACCCACAGATATTGTTAACACAATACCAATATGTGTAAGAATTTTCAATAAATGGTTTTAATATCCCTCAACTGTATCTCAAAATACTTCTGTGTGAAGGAAAAAATGGTGCACATTCACTTCTAATAAAATTCAAATTAAAAATGAAACTTATGAAGGCTTGGTAAGTTACTTGAAAGAAAACAAGGTTTAGGTAGGAAGATTGAAATTAAAACTCAGTCTAAGATTTTTATAATTTACTTTTTATATTACAAGATGGTTTATATAAAAGTCTGAGATCAATTCCTTCAAAAGTAAAAGAATTTGTTTATGAGTAAATCCCAGTTTTGTAATCTTCAATGTTCATAAAGTGAGGTTAAAGAAAAAGCTTCCTACTTCAGTTCTCTCCATGAAACAACTTGATGCTGAAGTGAGGAGATGAAGTTTGGTGATACTGGAATCACTGAAGCCCATAAAGCTGTAAAGCACTTTTTGAGATTGGTACTATCACTCTATGGCCAACATAGAAAGTGTATAAAGTAGTGGTTGTCAGACACATGGAGACACCACTCTGTGTGTGTGTGTGTGTGTGTGTGTGTGTGTGTGTGTATAGAGGGGGTATCTAGAAGATAGGACTCCAGAACTATCTGTCTCAAAATAACACTATAAAGTTGACAAATCCTCAAGTACAATTACTGATCAGAAATAACAGCATTTAGAAAGTAAAACTAATTTGTAAATATGATCTATAAACAAGAAGTCAAAATAAGATTACTGGCTAAATCCCACTGCAGGCTAATGCATCAATGAGATCAAATATCTATACAACAAAGCAATATTGCACTTAGATTGGGCTAAAAATACAAATCCAGTGATTCCACAATGGAAATCAGAATACCATTACAGATCATGGTATCATAATTTTAACTTTCAAATAACAAACACTTCAAATTCTCCATTATAAAGGAAGAGTCTAAAATATATATTTGAATTGATCATGGTGTTTATATATCATTTAATGTTATTTAATTACGGTACTATTAGTTAAAACTGCATCAAAAATGTTGGTCTACTTTCAAACACACAGAGAATAAATCTCAATAGTTCTTTTTTTAAAAAATATTTTTGACCAATTTTAAAAGATTATATTTGGTAATCTGAACAACTAATTTAAAGGCAACAATATGCAATATGCACTGTTGAATTCTTACAATTTTGCTTCGTGAAATTCTGTATCATTTCTAGTGTCTTTTACTACACTGTAGTCTCTTTAAAAAACAAAAAAGACAAAATAAAGCACAATAATTTTAAAAATTACCTAGTTTAAAAAGTCTATACACAGAGATTTATTGGATTGAAACTGATGCTATTTGCTTTCAACCACTACAAATACATGATTTTCAAATAAGATTATCAAAGAATCTTAGACACTTTCTCTACCTTTTAGATCATTCTGAACAATCCTTTGTCACTCAAAAAAAAAAAAAATCTTACAAGAAATATCTATTCATTAGAATAATATTCTACCTTGTGGTTCTTTGCTCAAGCCTGTAGCAAAGTCATCTGTTATGAATGTTAAAAAGTCTCATGGGCTGGTGAGATAGCTTGGCAGTATAAACCCGGGTTCAATCCCCTGTATGACATGCTGAGCCTGCCCCCGGAACCTGGGAACACAGAGCCAGGGATTGAAACCGGGTATGGTGGCACATGCCTGTAATCCTAAAGCTGGGGAGGCTGAGGCAGGAGGATCACTATGAGTCTGAGCTGCATAGTGAGACCCTGTACCAAATAAATATGTAAATAAAAGATTAAAAAGTCTCCTGATCCAATCTGAAAGATTTTCATTTGGCACTGACAGTGTAAGGTTTTAGATTCTAGACAGCATCTAAGTAATCCCCACAGAGGTAGTCAAGTTAAAAGTAACAGAATTAGCAACGGGGCCAGGGAGAAGCTCAGTAGAATAAGAGCTTGCCTGGCAAGTACAGGGTCCTGAGTTCAATCCCTGGATCTGAAAAAAAAAAAAAAAAAAAAAAAATGGCAGCTGTATGGGGCCAGGGAGATAGTGGAATAAGCGCATGCCTGGCAAGTGTGAGGGCCTGAGTTCAATACCTGGTTCCACCAAAAAAACAGAATAAGCAGAAGCAACTTCCAAGCAGGCAAGAGATGGCTATGAAACAGTCAGATACTTAGTAATCTATGGTTAAGATATAGAATATTGATGGCTTGGATTAAAAATTCAGTATCTTTACCTAAACTATAAATTTTAATAAAATGGCTATATTTAAGGTATATAATGGTTTGTGACTGGATGCCCCCTGAAATTCACATAGTTTTTAATTGGTTCTTGATCCAATGCTGTAATTATGGGTATAAGCATTATACCAAGCCTGGGGCAGGTAGCCTATGTACAGGATAAAGGAGGGAAAGAGCCTTGTTCTCTACTGCTCCTCCCTTTTTGCTCTTACTGCTTTTTCTGTTTCCATAGCCATTAATTGTTGCCCTCTGCCATATACCACTTTGCTTTATAGAGTCAGCCAAATATGGACTGAAATCCCCACGAATTGTGAACAAAATAAACTTTCCTTTCTTAATTCTCACTGTCAAGTATTTTGACTCAGCAAGGAGAGAAAAAATAACCAAGACAAAGTGCTTCGAAGTATTTAAAGAAAACACTGGGGACAACCTGTTCGGGGCCCCTCTCCTGTCCCTCTCTAGGACAGGAGCTCTTTCCCCCAATAAATATATTCTGCTTATTAAAAAAAAAAGAGAGAGAAAAATGAAAACACTAAGAACTATAAAACAAAAATCTATCTGTAATCTCTAGACAGCGATTTTTGACACTAGACAGCTTTTTTTAAATAAAAGGAAGACAATATTCTTTTCTTTCACAGCACAAGGGATAATGCATCTATCTGTAACATGAAATAGTAAAATATTTACTTACGTTTATTGACTACTGTTTATCTCTCCCATAACAATGTAAGTTCCATAAGAGCAGGAATTTCTGTTTTATTCACTGATAGGTTATTAATGCCTACTGCAGGCTTGTGGAAGATAACCACTCATTAAATAAATATCTTCTATATGAATAAATGCTGGGTCTACAACTGTGCTACAAAGAAATTAATATTTCAATAAACCATACCTGGATTATTTAAACAGCTATAGGATTCGTAAGAATCTACCACTACACAGGCTGTCAACAAGTTAAAGGTTTGGACATGTATTTATACGTATGTTTCCTATATAGGGGCCACCTTAAATTTTTTCTATTTATTCAATATAACAAATATAGTGCTAAGTGAACAGCAAACAAAATCTAACACTTCAGCCATTACAGGCAAGTTAACCCCCTTTACGGTTTATGATAAATAAAACGAAGTTCCATCACAAAGTAAAATGTTACTAAAAATTAAAAATAAAAAACTAATAATATTGCTCTTAAGTCAAAATCTCTAAAACACAATCTCTAAGCTATTTGAAATTTTTTTTTTTTCAGTGCTGAGGATAGAGCCCAGGATCTTATACATGCTATACAAGCACTCTACAACTCAGCTACATCAGTGGCACTTATGTTGCCTTGTTTTCCCTGATCACAGTGACACTTAAAAATTACTACACAGATGCCTATGTTTATAGCAGTACAATTTGTGATAGCCAAATCTTGGAAACAACCAAGATGTCCATCACCTGAGAGATGGATGTAAAAGATGTGGTATTTTTATACAATGGAATATTACTCAGCTATAAAGAATGATAAACTTGGAGCCTTTATATTGAAGTGGATGCCACTTGAAGATATATTCATAAGTGAAATAAACCAGACACACATGTATAAATATTGTATAGTTTTCCTAGTATAAGAACTCAAAAGAAGAAATACAAATAGAAAGTTATAATACAAGTAAAAGGAAAACAAGAACTTGAGGACTAGACAATGAAAAGGGAGCAAGGAGAAGAGCAAGGAAACATGACAGGGGCAAGCCATGCTGTTATATGTAGAAGATGGGTAAGGCAATGATCCTGAGAATCTTCAGAAGATTTTTGAATCTTGCAATGAATTAGAAAGATTCTCACCCTGACTAACTATATATACAGACACCTGTAAACTAAGCAACTGCACTGAACATGGCAATTTGTAATAGCAGGTTCATGCTTAGAGTGCCATTCAGTCATTCTGGTCTTCTGAATATGGGCTGCTTATCATGACATATCAGTTGCTGCTGTGCTCTCAGGTAGATGACTGTTCAAAAAGAAGAGGGTGGTGAATGAAGGCAGGAGACAGGAAAAGGAATGTTGCAGGACTGTCCTGCTATAAGGTTGTATATGGTTAGTTTTTTGGACTTATGTGTAAACATAAGAATTATGTAATTCTTTATGCCTATTTTTAAAATATATTTTAATTTTTTTAAATGTTTTTTCATCATATTCTGTAGGGACTTAAAGTTCAACATATCAATACCTGATGAAAAATACCTGTTCAATGTTATGCCTAAGATGTTTGATATTCAGACAGTGAGGTTCAGCTTAACAGCCTAAGTTGTATGGTAATAACAATAAGCTTGTCTTCTGGAGGGTTAACAACCTTAAGTTTGCAGACCAAAATTAGAGAAAAAGGAGGGCCGCAAGGAAAGCCAGCATTTTGGCCCTAGCCTTCCAAGGTCAATTAAGACTCAGGACACATGAGATCTTGTACTGTAACACCATGTAACCCAGTAGTGTCCCAAATTTTCTGATCAAGGAGATTAGGGGCCAAAGAAGAAAGTGAACGATGACGTAGTATGTGCCTAAGGAGAGTCACATGGAGAGAAAACACTCTCTCAGGCTTTTATGGTGAGCACACTGGCCAAGCAATGACCTTGACTCATCCACATGGCGGACACTGACAAAGGATCTACAATCTGAGGTATAGGATCTCAGGAAAAATCCTGAGGGGATTTGACTGACCTTATCAGATCCAAAAGATACAACTCTTGTTGCACAGGTCTTGCTTTATCTTGGTCTTAACCATCCAGCAGAAAAGTATAAAAACAAAGTATAAGAAATAAAGCCATGTTGTTATATTGAACTGTAGGGGACTCAGATCAACAATTTCTGACACTGCCAGTCAGACAGAAGACCCAATACTATTATGGATTACTGAAATTTTTAGAATATTTTTGCTGAGTTAACACACCTATAATATTCAAATGACGGAACTAAACAAAAAAAGAATATATAAATCAATGTCCATTTTGCATCTGTGTATTCAAAATGGTTAGGATGGATATACAGCTACATTCTCTTAATAGATGGATTTGTTGTAATAGTGTTTGTAAATAGGATATCATGTCCGCATCTTCTACAGCAATTAACCACTAGGAAGAATGTATGCAATATGTAAATTATTGAAACTGTCCTACCAATTTGATTTGAAACTGTCCCATTGTTATTTGTCTGTCAATAATATTATGGAAAAAAAAGAAAAAAGAAAAGAAAAAAATCTTAAAAAAAATTACTACACAGAGAAACTCAATACTAAATAATAAACAATAAATTGGCAATGTCCATTGTTAATTATCACAGAGGCATCATATGAAGTTTACCATTAATAATTTTACTCATTTTCTCAACTACCTTCTTCATATTCCTTCTTTCTATATATACATTGCCACCCTAACAAATAATTCAACAGTTTATGACAATTTGCCATTTTTAAAATGTACTCAGGGGCCGGGGAGATGGCTCAGTGGAATAAGCGCTTCACTGGCAAGCACAAGGGCCTGAGTTCAATCCCCAGTTCCACCAGAAAAAATAAAAATAAAAATAAAATGTTGTACTCATTGGTTTGTCCAGCATTCTCCTCTTATTAGGCACTAACCATTTCCTAACAAGCACGACTTCTTTTATCCTTCTTGAATCCCAAGAGACCAGCATGGAATGTCACAAACAGTAGTTAATAAATATTAATTGATTGAATGAATGAAAACATACATAAACATACATGGACATCTAATCAACATATGTTTAGACACAGAACTTATTTTCATGAACCATCACTAAAAGCAGTAACAGCTTTGGCATTATTAAAGGCTTACTTCCAGCAACGTCAATTTAAGCATGCTATTCTTGCTCTACAATGTTCTGCCATTTATCTTCTTTCAACATTTAAAAAAACTAATTTACCGCTCATTTAATTCCAGCTCTAACAGTCAACCTATACTCTTCTTCTCTAATTCCCAAACATCCACAAACCAAAACACTGCCAATTCAAACTAGCTGATAATTTGAAAATGCTCACCAAAGATCAAGTGGTGCAGCTCTGCAATTGCTCTAAAACTTTATGGCAGTGGTGGTGAATCTATGGCATGTGTGCCACAGGGAGCTATCTATACTGCTGAAAGCTGTTTGTCCCACTGCTTTATGTTAGTATGTCCCATTGTCCTTGTCTACACCACAGTGCCAGTATATCTTATCTGTGATTTCAGCCTTGAAAATTACAGTAATTACAGTATTTTTCAAATTTCCTTTATTGCTTTCACTGAGCCTGAGCTATAGCACCCTACACCAACACACATACAAAGCGTCCTGCCTCATACAAATGATCTTTTATCCCACAAATTAATGTCAAGATGTACTCTACTAAATCATTTGTCTTCACACAAATATGTACTACTTCCTATAAAATGTAAAATGGTGTGTTGTACTTTGGGTGTTCTTAATTATTCAGCGTCTGCCTTTACCACCATATACATGCTAGAGATTGTGCTAGAAGATTTGGATATAAAATATTAATATAATCCTCACAGCCTTAAAGATTATCACTTTATGGACATGGAGACTAAAATGAACAGAAGTTAAATACTTCCTGAAATCCAAAAAAATTAGGGCATGAAAGAGATGAAATTAAAAAATAGGTCTATCTTGCTCCAAAGTACAATTCAGAATATAAAGCTGACTTTCTAAGAAGAAATATACATTAGTCACTTTTTTATTAAGAGAAAAGTGGGGCCAGGGAGATGGCTCAGTGGAATAAGCACTTCCCTGGAAAGCATAAGGGCCTGAGTTCAATCCCCGGTTTTGCCAAAAAAAAAAAGAGAGAGAGAGAAAAGGCCACTTGATTGGGTATACATACTACATCATTCAAAATTCAACACAACCAATAAAAGCATTTAACAGTATGTAAACCACAGCTTAGGACACTTCAGAAACCTAGTGCTACACAGTAAAAGCAGCAAGCAAAGTCCAGAGCCATAGTCTAAAGCCATGTTCTTTCCAAATTTGAGATGCCTTATTCTTCTCTAAACTTAATTCTTCCTTTTCTAAGTACTTTTCTTTCATAACCCTTTTCAGTAATACATTAGGCTCTGGACAAACAAAAGTTTCAATCACAATTACAATGCAGCAGGAAACATCTTGGAAAACAGTAAAGAAGTATAGCTGTATTCCATTAAGTCCGCTATCAAATGTCTAGCCTCCAGGCTATACAGTTTATCCCTCTCCATTTCACTGCATTGTCTGTATACACTCATTAAGCTCCATTTCAACTCTGAATTTTGCTCTAATATTCTTTCCTATCTTCCTGATCCTCACATATATTGATCCTAATTAAACTCATTTTTCAAGTTTATACTTAAGCCTTTATTACATCATCTCACACGACTCAGACAATAAATTTTCACTTAATTTAACTCATATACCAATAACAATTATCAACGGCTTAACATTCAACTTTCTGTAGGTACATTAAGTAAACAGATTATCTAAAGTGGACTCAAGTCGGAACAAATGATGGTGTATATATGATATTAGGCCTAAAATTAGCACATACTGTACAGTTAGTACTCAATGGCCAACTGACTTAAGTATATGGTCTTAAACTACTAAAATAATTTTAAATAGGCAAAAAAAGATTTCTTCTTTCTTTCACAAATACTGCTGATTATAATTCAACTATATTCATTGTAAGAATAGTAAAAAAGTAAAGGCTTACTAGAATAGGAAGTAGCATCCATCTTTCCAACTTTCACTGGCGATCCAATGCTTTTCATCTCAAAACCAACTTCATTCCAGACTGGCTCCAGTTTTTTACAGTGGCCACACCATGGGGCATAAAACTATCCAAAAAAGGAAAAAAAATTCCACTGAAGTTCTAGTGCTATTGTGAACATTATTCTTAGTATCTAAAAACTCTTGATTAAGTAAACTGCTAATAATCTGTTACAGAAAAAACTTTAAAAATAGATTAAGTAGTTGCACAACCTAAGCTAATATTCATAAGTCTACATAGGATAACACCTAGCATATACTTCAAAACTTAACCCTATTTTAAATGATTATTATATATTTAAAGATATACAACTTACAATCAAAATGCCTCTGGTTCCAGGTGACTATATTCATATTTTGTACAAAAGGCAGTCACCAAATAAACACACATACACACCATATCATATGCACCCTATACGTTAATGTGTTTCTATTACAAAAATGTCAATACAATAAATGTATTGCTAACTTTTCCTGCATCCACTGATAATAGAGAGACATTAGGATGACTACTATCCTAGGAGCACATCAGGCTGATAAAGGAAAAACGACATTCCTTTGTATTTTAGAATACTCAAATGGTGTGGGTAACATTCAGATACCCTAGTAATGTGCTGTAAGAAGCTGCTCATTATACTTCCATGAAATAAGACTTATTTTCAACTTTATGCTATGGAAATGTTCAAAGATACACAAAAGGAGGAAGAACTAAATAGTGAGCTGTTATGCTTCATTGGCTATTTACTAATCAACAACTTCCATTCTTATGCCACTTCTTTTGCCGCCACTCTACTTTTTGATGAAGTATATTAAACTCCTAATATCATAAAGTTGAAATATATTCCAAACCTGAAACTGAGAAAAGAGTAATTAAACTTTAATTTTATTCACTATTACAATGAAAGGGTGACTATAACCACTAATGATAAAAATGTAATGAACCTCTTGGAAATATGAAAGAATGAGAGAATTCTACAATTCATGTCATAATAATATTCCTAAAACATAATCCACAAATCCCTCATTAAAGGTATTGCAGTTTCCCTTCTTAATGTCCCTACCACAAAATTTCATCAAAAATTTCTTGTCAGACATCTTAAAACTAATTCCCTTTAACACAAAAACTCAAACAAATATCTGACAAAAGAACAGTAGATACATAACCACTAATTATACATTGTCTACTCTGTGTGGAAGAGAATAGAAAAATACATAAAATAGGAGAGACAGTTATTTGATAAGTAAAATGTACATACTCACATCTACAAGCCAAATGTCATCTTTTCGATTATCTTTAAACCTAAAAAAAAAAAAAAAAAAATCGACTCTCTGATTTTATGTTTATGTCTATTTTCTAAATGTGTAGTACTCATACAGATAATAAATTGATTAAAAAATAGGACCATGGAAGAAATTTTTTCAATAAATTTTTACGTAAAATGTTTACTTAGTGACCTATGTAAGTTTTATCCTACCCATTAAGATATCTTAAAAGCAATTCAACTCTCACATTTAGCTAACAAGTATGGCATGTTGTTGGCAATGTTCCCAGCATAGAAGCCTTTCTGGTGAGCATTCACTGAAGAAAATAACTATTAGGAACAGAACCCCTTTCTCCTCCTAATAAGTTAGGACACTCTGAAACAGGAAACCTGAAGTGATACACCTCACAGGCCACTAAGAGAGTTGCTTTCTTTAGAATCCAAAAGTTTTGTTAAAAATCTGCAAGCACTCTCCAAGCATCACTTCCAAAACAGCACTGTATTCACCTGATCACCCTATTCAACAGACTGTATCATGTGACCAAATGTCTATGTGATCAATTAAGACAAGCTCAACTGGAAGTAACAAGCCCTTACTCACTTAATGTAACACTGCAAACCAAGAGACAAAAGAGGTCCCAGCTCTTCAGTGGTCCATTTTCGCCCATTAAAAAAAAAAAAAAACAGCCCAGTCAGGTGGATGGAAAACAGACTGGAAAATTCATCTCACTGCTGAAGCATGCTGAACAAAAAGGCTTTTGTCGCTTTATGAGGACCCATAGATAAGAACCTCAGTAAGGTTTTACAAAGGTGTCTGGGATATGCTTTAGGGCAGTACCCAATCAGAAGCTTTCACTTAGAGGCAATGAAGCTAGGAGTACAAATACATATATAAACATGACTAGCCTGAGAGGCTTGAGTCCTCCACTACAAGTCCCTCCAGAGACAATGCACTCCTTGCACACAAAATTTGGCATGGAAAGAGCACTTTCTCTCAGGTGCCTGGCCAGAAAAAGCAGTTACTGCCTAGAATGACATAGGATTTTGGTCTGGAGCTAAGACTCGTCACCTACTGTACACAAGGCCTTGTGATGAGTGCTGTGACACAATGAAGATAATACTGAATTCCAGTACCCACTCTGAATGATTAAGGTTAAAAAAAAGAAAAAAAAAAAAAAAAAGGACAAATATAAAGTAAAATGAGAAAGTATGGGAAAATTGTGCCAGTTTCTGATCCTGTAACTACTAATAAAACTCTTTGAGGCATTCCCCAAGTCTATACCTATCACCTAGAAAATTGGTGGCTATAGCTTAAGTGTTACTGTGTTTTTCTCTTAAGACAAAAAATGTTAATGACTTGGTTTTTCTAAGATTTAACTGAAGTGCAGGGACTCTGATAATTGTGTTCTGACTTGCAGTTTGGCACTAGATCTCTAAAGGATTGGCTATTACTCACCTAGAACAACTCCCAAAACCAAATTAGCATTATACAAGTACTGGTCATTATTATCTATATCATTAAAAGATTAGATTCGCAAGCAAATATTTATCTAGTATCTAAACTGGACCAAGTTAAAATAGTTCAAATATAGGAATACTCACGATTCATCTAAATCTTGTACAAATCCTCTACAGAAAGCTACATCAAATAAAAGGACTGGAAAAAAGAAAATAAACTGATTTATTATTTGGCTCTTATTGTATGCTTAGTTACCTATAAACCGCTTTTCTTTACAGTTTACCAAACTCAGTAAGCATCTTTATCGGAGCATGAGCGATGCAAAAGCCTAAGCAGTTCATTCATTTAATAAATATTTCTTGCGCGAGCCATCATACTGCAACTGTCAAATGCCATGCACCTTTAATAAGCAGCTCCTTTTCATTAGTTTCGAAGTAGAGGTAAATCTTTTCTCAGCAGTTTTGTTTTCACTGTAGATTTACGTCCTCGGTAAAAATTTAAAAAGCCACTCACAATAGTTTGCCATTATTGCTCCCAAATAGAAAACACAAAACCTGCGAGAGGGCCCGCTCCGCGACCCCGGGCGCCGGCGGCGACTCTCCGCGGGGGCCTGGGAGGGACCGCGCGCCGCGGGGCCGGGTGCCGCTCCGTCCCGGGCCAGACCCGCCAGGAGCCCTCTCCGCCCCCGAGCGTGGCAGGACCCAGAGGCCACGGCAAGGCTCCCGCCCCTCACGCCGAGCGCCCGGGGCCGGCCCCTCAGCAGGGTCTGCGGCGCGGCGCGACCTCTGCAACCCGAGGAGCCGCGGCCGCCGCGCCCCCGGCGGCGCTCCCGCCCTGAGGAGCGCGCGGGCTGCGCCTCTGCGCACTTTTTACCTGTAACGCAGAGCCCCACAGCCCGGCTCCACTGGCCTGCCACGCTCGCCATGGAGAAACGCATCAGCGGAACGAGCAACTGGAGAGAAAGAACGGCGCCTGCAGCCCGCCCGGAAACGGAGGCCGGCACAGGAGACGCTGAAGGGAAGCTCGGCGGCGAGGCCGGGGGCGGGGCAGGGCAACCTCGCCTCCTCAGCGCTTCTAGAACGCCGCCGGCCTCTGTCTGAGCATGCGCGTGCAGCGACGCCTGCGCGTGAGCGACGCCTTCGCGGGGTCTCGGCGCATGCGCAGTGTCGTACGCCTGAGCCCGCGTCTGCGGCTGCCTCCCGTAGCGTGGGAAACCAGCGTAGGGAATGTTTTCTGTGGGGGTGCAGCTGTGAGCCTTCTCTAGATTTTGGAAAGTTAGCACCGGGACGCCTGCAGGGGTCGGCCAGAAAGTTCTGCAGACTACAGCGCCGGCTTAGGCAACCCCAGGAAGCGCTCGGGCCGGCCCCACCCCAGGAGCGCGCTGATACAGCGATGGAGGGTAGGCGTGGTGGCGGGCACCTGTAATCCCAGCGTTCGGGAGGCTGAAAACGGGAAAATAACTATGAGTCTGGTCTGTGTAGTGAGGCCTTGTAGACGTTGTACTAAGTAGGAAAACAAACAAACAAAGTGCTGTAGGAGAGGTAAAGCTACTTCAAAGTTAAACTTTGTTAGAGCTTTTGTATTCCCACCACGTATGTGGACTCCTGTTTGCAGAATGGGGACTATCACTGACATATTGTTCATGCACTGTTGGCAAATGAAGTAGTCCCTCTTTAAAAACTTTCTTGGTTCCTGAAAAACTGAAGTTCAGCTCAAAAGTTTTTTCCCTTTCTGTTTCTTGATTAGGGAAATAAAAAATAATATAAATTATATTGCCATATTTTTCTGTACACAAAAATGATCTATAAAAGTCATACACTTTCATGTGACAGTTCCTATTTAGTTTCTGCATCTGATTTAGATGAATTTTTGTTTTTTGAGAGAGACCAATACTCCTGCTTGAGTCTCCGGAGGGTCTAGATTACACATGTGCACCACCTCCTTCTGATTAGATGAAATTTTATAGAACGTGAAGTACCACAGGATTTAGATTAAACCAGTTTTGGAAAACGTGTTAGGAAGAAAAACAGGGTTTTTATCAGCCAACTTACTTTTGGTTCAAAAGTCTGAGAAAAATGTCATCACTCAGTACTATTCCTAGTGATTAAAAAATTATAAATTACGATTGGATTGAGACCCAGCCCTAGCTTTCATCACTTCTATGCAAGCAACGTGGTATACAGGGCAGGCCCTCTGCAGACCTCAGTTTTTAAAAATAAGTAGTCCAAAAAATAGGAGAACTATCAAGGTAATGGAATAGTCTGTCAACAGGCTATTTTATGTGGTAGACTTATTATTGCTGAAGGGCTTCATTTTATTCATTCTCATCAAAGGTTTATCTCCTACAACCTATACAAGAAAATAATAATGTCTATTGTGCTTTGCTTTACAGCTTAAATTAGAAAGCAGAGAGCAACAAAAATCACTCTGTTGAGATTTGTACTTTCCAACACAGTAGCCCTTAGCTACATGTGGCTAAACCAAGATCAAAACAAGGATTTCTGATGAAATTTTAGAGTCTAATGGAATTACTATACACGTAAAGCGGGATTTTAAAGATACTATAAAAATGTAAAGTGTAAGGGCTAGCGAGATAGCTCAACACCTGCTTAGGCAAGTGCAGGAATCAGGGTTCCATCCCTGGCACCACATGCCACGCTGGCCCTGCCCCTGGGCACATTGAACTGGTGACTGAGTCCAGGCGCAGTGATGCACACCTATAATCCCAGTGCCAGGGAGGCTGAAAACAGAAGGATCACCACAGTTCCGAGCTGCGTAGTGAGACCCTGTACCAAATACATTAAAAGTAAACTGTCTCAGTATTAATAGACTGTTGAAGAATTTTTGGACTATTGAGTTAATAAAATACATTATTAAACTTTTCTCACCTGGTTTTCATTTTTCAATGTAGATAGTAAAGAATTTACATATGTGGGTAGCATTTTTTTTTGGTGCACATCACTGACCTAGATAATCTGAAAAGAATAAAAATAATACATTAATATGCTGATAAAACAACAAATTATTGGAGGTCTTACAGAAAACAGGCGGAATTTCCACATACTAGGCAAATCTGTACTAAATGTGGTTAAGGCTCGAGTCAACTTGACTGGCTCAGGAACCACTGGGGGTGAGTAAAGCAAAACTGGGTGTGTCTGGATGGATCATGGGGCCTGACTTTTGGGTCCACATCAGGTCCTTTCCCCTTCCTCTTTGATACTGTTACCGTGCTCTGCTTCCTGACTGCCATGAACTAAGGTACTATCTCTTCCCATCCCTTTTCACCATGATGTTTCTGCCAGCCTGCCCTTGATTGTATCCCCTTCACGTGTGAATAAAATTGTTTTTCTTGCTTTAAATTGTAAGTGTGAAAGGCCAGGGAGATAACACAGCAGCATAAGCTCCTGCCCAGCAAGTGTAAGGTCCTGAGTTTGATCCCTGGTACAAAAAAAAAGTGTCAAGAATTGTGTCTCAGAGAGAGGAAAATTAACATGAAAAACTTACAAACAGTAGAAGGCTTGCTATGACTGCTATGTGATTCAGAAGCCAGTGGAAATGGTTTATGGAAAGAGTTTGGAGAAGCTTGTAGATGCAGGCAAAAGAAACTTTGGACTGCTGTAAGTACATATTGTAGGTGATTCTTGGAGGACCAGGAAGCTGATAGGAATGCAGATGATGAAGGCCATACTCAGGTTTCAGTCATATCAAGTACTCCTTTGGCAGTTTGACTAGAGCACATGGGTAATGCTGACAGAAAATTTGTCTGCATTTTGCTCATATCCTACAAATTCACAAACTACTGAGATGAGGAGGGGGTGTGGACTGGTGGTTCCATTGGAGGAAATTTCAAGGTAGCCTAATAGAGCCTGTGGCATGAGTATTGCTGACTGCTTTTAGCAAATTTATAGTGAGACTCATGGACAAAGCTCCAAAAAGAACAACTTTTAAAAATAAAAAATTTTGTCTCCCAAAGGAACCACCAAGTGAGGGTGGGGCTGAAGGAGGTGTGCTAGAGATCATCACCATTAAAAAGAAAGCAGGCACTTTATATGGAAACACGAAAGATACCTTCATAGCATCTTAGAAATGAATGAGACATCCAAATTCCAGGCTGAAGGATATAAAAGTATAAGCTTTTGATTTGAAAATTGAATATCCTGGATACCTTCTTGAGAAAGGCCTCCGAACGCTGCTCCCTAGAATTCATTTCATTTTGTTCAGCCATCTAGCCCTTCAACCATAATCAAGGAGCTCTTAGCTACTGTGGTTTTTTTTGTTTTGTTTTGTTTTATTTTGTTTGGTTGTTTTTTTTTTTTTTGCGTGGGAAGGGGGAGGACCAGGGGTTGAACTCAGGCCCTAGCACTTGCCAGGGAAGCACTTATTCCACTAAGCCATCTCCCCGGCCCATGGCTACTGTTTTCCTTGACAGCAGACCTGTCATCACTAACATGATGCTGGTTTTACTAGCATGCAAATTGTCAAAGTTGTCGGGTGAAGGAGGCATCCACTCATTTGAAAGGAGTTCTGGAATGCCCAACAAGGAACTCCTGAGATGACAGTGACTAAAGCTGTGGGAATTAAGCCAGAGATACATTGGAGGCACCAGGAAGTTTGAAATGCTAGGAACATGGATACTTGCCGAGGAAAAACTAAGGCCATGAGTGAATCCAACCCAACAGAGGCTGAGGACTACAACCACCAAGACACAGGGTGAGGTCATCCAAGCCCTGTGCAATTCACACCTCACTGCTCTGTGCTCTGGACTCTAGATAAGAATCAACAGACTTACAAACACCATTAGAACAAATCACTCTATTCATTAAGAGAATGTAACTATATATCTATCCTAACCACTTTGAATACACAGATACAAGATGGACATTCATCTGTATACCCTTTTTTTGTAAATAGGATATCGTGTCCACATCTTGTACAACAATTAACCACTAGGAAGAATGTATGCAATGTGTTAATTATTGAAACTGTCCTACCAATTTGATTTGAAACTGTCTCATTGCTATTTGTTTATCAATAAAATTATGGGGAAAAAAAAAAGAATTGCCAGACTTCAGGTCTTTCTTGCTACATTTTAGCCTTGCTTTGAACTGATGTTTTCTTGTCCTGTTTGTCCATTTTGTTATGGGAATTATTACCTTGTGTATCTTGTGATTACATGACTTGATTTTCATTTTTATAGAGTTTCACATCTAAAAATTTCCCTTGAGTCTCATAAGGCATATTGACTCTGACTTTTAAAAATGCTAGAACTGCTGGAAGGGATTATGGCACTTTTAGTTGTACTCAGCATAGTTGTACCATGTTAGGCAGAATTATTTGTTCATTATTGTATTGTTTGAAGATTAAGGGTACATCAAGTTGACACAGGTAAAGGTGTGGTTAAACTTGATTTTGTGAAATTGGATTGAAGCCACTAAGAGAATTAGTGAAGCACATCTGGATGTGTCTGGGTGGATCATAGAAACGTAATGTTGGGTGTTGTATCTAAGGGAGTCCCTCCTCCCTTTCTCTCTGATGCTTTTCACCTGTTATGCTCCCTGGCTGTCATTAATTAAGCAGCCTTGCTCTGACATGCCCATCTGCCATAGTTCTACTTTGGAGCCAGCCAACCCTAGACTGAATGCTCTGAAAACATGAGTCAAACCAAATTTCTCCTTAAACTGTGAGTGTTGAATATTGTGCCTTAGCAACAGAAAAGCTAACTAATACAGATATAGAAAGATATTTTAAGGGTATTTCTTATCTTTCTCATGTGGTGACAAATTCCCTTAATATTTGAAAGACTCTATTCCATAACTATGACAAGTGTTTTTTTTTTTTTTTATTTTTAACTTTCAGTTGAACTACACATACATGCTTTGAATATTTTTATACATATAGCTATAGTCTAAATATACCCTCCACAGCCAGGTCACATTTACCCCAGGGGTGCAGGAATGGTTGAAAATACATAAATCAATAAATGAAATACATCAGATTAGTAGAGCCAAGGCCAAAAACTGTATAATCATCCCAATAGATGAAGTGAAAGCTTTTGACAAAGTCCAGCACCCA